ACTAGTAGTAACAAGAAGCTATTAGAAACAAGAAGCTATTAGTAACATTCCGCGCTTCGCTTCTTGGCGCTTCGTTGGTCGCGCCGGTCTTCCGCACTGTCACCGGAAAGCCGGGTTCTTCGGGGAACTCCGGTCGTTTGAAGACACGGCCGGTTCGGTTCGTTTAAAAAACAGCCTAATCAGGCGATGAAAACGGGTTGATGGCGGCATCTGGACCAGCGCTCAAAGCATGCAATGCACCAGCATTATTAATTTATAGGCATGTGATTCTATCGATTCTTCCGTGGAAATGGAACGTGCACCCATGTGCACTCCATCAACTCCTGTCCTCTCGACAAACCCTTTCGACTCCACCTGGGACCTGCGAAACCGCGTTTTGGATGAAGAGGCTCCTTGCGGCTCTTCTGAGCCCCATGCCCCGCCATGCCCCACCATGCCCCGCCATGCCCCGCCTCCTCAAAGAGCTGTTGGCACTTCAAAAGTTCCTCCTCAGACTCCTGACGCGCTGATAATGGTCAACTGATATCCCAAATATCCCACAGAGAACGGGTGTTGGTGTTTGACCATTTTTGACCTATGATTCTATACAAGTTGTCTTTGCCTTGCTGTCACCCATGTTCACAAGGGGAACATGGGCATTCCATGAAATTCCGACTCTGGGTTGAGAATGCATCGTACCACACCTGGTAGATCGGTCCTAGTTACTTGGAGGAAGCATCTCAACATCAGTTGCAAGACATGAAGAGAGAGAAGATCCATGCACAGGCTGGATATCCTGGCCTGGCATTGCAAGCGTGAATCCAGCAACTTCTTTTGGAGGCTCTGCACCTCCGGCTCCCACAACACCCAAATCCCACCTCGAGAGAGCCACACAGCAGTATGGGCTGCCAATCAAAGTCCTTTTGGTCAGACCAATCAAATTAGAAGTATATGATGAGACCTATGATTTGACTCCAACGCCTGCACTCCGAAAGCCTTTGACTCCGACGCCTGATTCTCAGCACGCAAAAGGCCACTGGATTGCACTTCAGAGAGTTGAATTTTGCTTTGCAGTGCATCCAGCTCCTCCTGCAACCTGGGCGTGTCTGCAAGACAGGATCCTTGTGGCTCGTCACTGATTCGTAAAGTTCCCCGTCTTTGGACGCTGGTTGTATGGGCCAAGTGTAAAGCTCTGCTGAACATGGAGCACAGAGCTCGGTCCGAAGTTCAACTTCTAGCCGCTCAAGTAGGGCTGACGCGACCCCCAGTATGAGATAGTTCGACGAATCATATGTCATATCCCACAACCCTTAGGACATGACACCAGCAGGAGTGGGCAAGGGTTCAGAAAGTTGTAAACACAGTTACGGAACACAAATAGGTCAATACACTTCTGGGAGATCACCTGTCCTCTGGTGATAACAATAAACCAAAAATTAACAAAAAACATCAAAAAACGCGGTGTTCTCCCTTGAGCAAGCCATGTTTCCATATTTTCCCAGCACATTCATGCAATCGCCCTTCCACTTCGGCGAATTCCTTTCCGACCCTGCCACGTGACGATCGTGACATATCGTGACGTTTTGTCCCCGACGGTGCCGGGCCACTCGTCCGCGTTCCTCCGCTGCACTTCTTGATCTCCCAACTCGCCTGCCAGGCGCCTCGCGCGCCTCTCTTGAGCCTCGCAGCGGCTCCTGAATCGCAGGGGTCCAGGCGACGCAGGTCAGCGACGGTCAGCGGAGGACGTGGGGCCAGTGGAAGAAGGACATCGATGTTTGAAGAAAACCATGGTAGTCCACTAAACTAAATGTACTCCAAATCAGGGTGATCGGCTTTCACATTTCGAACGTTCACATCTCACATGACGCCCCGCTGGACTTTTCGGTGGCCCTGGGATGGTGGACTCACCAAATCTGTGGCACAACGATGTCTGTGCCGACGTGTGTAAAAGTCACGCACCCAGCATCTGCAGCTGAGCATCTCTTCTGACATCAGCAAGCTTCGCAATGTTACGCTTTGGCTGTACTCTTGGGCTGCCTAGCGCTGACATGGTGGGGCTGCTCTTTTCAGCGACTCTGCTCGAAGGTTTTGTCCGATCCAAACCACTGCTTTCAAACCTGATCCCTACAACATTGACTGTTGTTTGGATGAACTCATAGGCTACACACTCGTATCACTCGTGTCCCACAGTTTCATACAAGATGTATAGAATTCCATCGGATTTCCTCAGAGCCCCCCGTGCTTTTTCCCCTCGTGCCTCCACCTGGAGCGCTTTCTCCCGAGCCAACGCACCCACACACTCCATTCGCTGCTGTTCCTGCTCGGATCCGCTCCCCATCCGCCCGAGCGCAAGGGGTTTACGACCTGACGGTGGATTTTCCGGTGTGTCAAATGGAAGAGAAGGCGATGTGAAGACTTGCCGGGAATCTAGGAGTATTGGTATCGACAAACATTCCTTCATGGAGGACATCCAGGTCAATGAAGGAGCAGGATAGAAGCAAGCCCAGGTTCTAGTAGCGCAGCGCATCAGTTCAAGCGGCGCTTTGACAAAAAAACTTTTTGCATGAAAACTGGACACACGAAAAACGCCTGAAGAATATTCTGAAGAATCTAACCAAAGATAACTATATAAAGCATGAAAACAGAAACTAAGTCTTGAAAGTTGGGAGGTGACATGAGACATGTATCCTCTACCCAAATGCACCACTTTACTGGGATACCCAGCCGGCAACCTCTCAAAATTATGTCCTAACCATGGCCCACTCTCATGATCCACTCCTGCAGCGACATCAACGCATCTTGTTCCTCTTCCACACCCTGCATGAGGGTTTCCAACTCACTCAGCTTGGACCTCAACCAGCCACGTCGCTAACTTCTGGTGGTGCGGGATCAATTGGGCTCTCAAAACGATTGCAACCAGAACAGGAAGTTTCTAGTATATAAAGACTCTCTCTGTCTCTCTCTCTTTAAGTGTATAGATCATTCACCAATATAGATCATTCAACAAACCCCGCATACTCATTCATACCCCACAAACTCTATGTCAAAATCATCCCTAACATCTGCGCGACCAAATCAGATTAGATCTGTTCGGGTGTGGATGTTATAAGAACTTGATCCACAAATTCACCCCAAGTGTGCCATATAGGAAGATGTGATCCCAGTTCCACTCGTGTTTCTTCCAGGCTCCAACATGGGTTCTACCGGCCAAGCAGCTCGTAGGTCACGGTGGAACGGGTGGTATCAGCATTGCTTGCCAAGAGCTTCTTGTAGCGGTGCAGGACCTGCCGTATCTTTGCATCTATGCGATATTTGGCCGGAACAAGCTTGCCAAGGGTTTGACTACACAAAAAATGTCCAGCAGCAAGTTGTAACAAGAAATTACAAGAATCATACCTCATATCACATACAAATTGAGGATTTATTTATTGGAGTTGCTGGATGAATTGCCAACTCCTGCTGGAACCCATAGTACGCGCTGGTGACCCTGATTACGCTGAGCATGGACAAATCATTAAAGCTTTCCGGAGGGCATGGTGCAGCTATTGCGCAACTACAAGACACAGTCAGGAATGGAAGACTTGGACACTGATCCTCATCCAAACATCGTTTCACAAACAACTCCTCCAACGTTGCAAAGACCATACCTATATACGGGCTTGACTCGGCATTGATCACTAATCGGCTTGAATGCCTGGCCCTGAAGACAGGTCATATGTTTTTATTCCGGGCCTATCATCGCCCCAGCCTTCCACAACATCGCCTGCACGTCTCCAAGTTTTGCCTCTGCGCCCTCGGTCTGAGCCACTCCTGGGTTCGGATCATGGACATGGGATGATCAAGGCAACTCCCAATGGATCAGAATTCCTAACGGCAGGGTCTCTGTATGCCAAAACGTTTCACTATGGAAGGTAAAGAAAAGAGCTTTCCCGGCAGAATTCCAATCCTTGCTCTCAAAATATTGAATTGAATTGAATTAACAAGTTGTTCCGTTCCGGGACGGTTTGTCATTTTGATTTCCTGTTTGAACTCATTCAGTTGGCTTTCACTTCCTTTTGACTCCCCTTAAAGTGTTCCGTTTCATGTTTAAAGGCCATTCTTTTTCCGAGGAAACGTACTACATTCTAAACGATTCAGGAATCCGATCTCATCCACCGATGACGAACTCGATTCGGGCATGAAGAACTCGACCGAAACACTTCGTCGGTGTTGGTTGGCCTCGCGGCCTCCAAGTGATGTTGGAGTTTGGGGTCGGACCAGTGATGTGTTGGGAATAATGGAGGAGTCACTTTGGTACCATATATCATAACGATCATCATATATGGTAGTACACTTGAGGGTGTCCCCTCTATGAATAAATCAACCAGTAGAAGGCCATCTATGGCTAGAATCGGCTAGAACCCCTTTTTCATGGTCCGAGTATCTTTGCTGAAGAAAGGACACAGCCTCCTGTAGCTGACTCACCTCAGATGGATACCACGAAATGGACATCAAGAAGGTACACAGTAGCGACTGTTGCAATGGACATCGTTGTCTCTTCCCTTCATTACAAACGACTTGCCTTCATGACCAACTGGGAACGTCCCAATGTGACCATGGCGGGTCCCAGCCTTGCTCTCCGCATTGGAATGCCTTGGATTTGCGGGCGTGTTGTTGTTGCGCCCACGGTGGTCGACGCTCACGGGTGCTCTCGGGTGGCGTCACATTTGAAGAAACACACGCGTGACCATAGAGACTTGTCGCCTCATATTGTGCAGTGACAATCTTCTTGTGGAGCTAAAGACCATTTAGGCATGATTATATTACCGTATTTGGGGTGTGGAACATATCGTTTTCCATGGAAACACAGCACTAAGGATTGATCATGGTCACGTCGTGCTATGTTCACAGCAATCCCCAATGATGAGGAGGTTACCAGTATCATTTTTACCGGAAACAAATCAATGGCTGACCCCCTTCAGTTTCCCGAGAAAAGATCTAAAGGTTTTAAGGACACTTTTTCCACCTGCTGGACTTCTGTGGGGTCACTGACTGGGGGAGGAAAATCCTGGAGCTTGCGGCAAGGGGCTGATCCCTGAGCTCTGATGCTGTTTTCTCCACCATTTCCTGGCGCTTAACGGGGCTCAGCACCAAACCCATTTAAGAAGCACGTCACTTCACAAGCAAAACAGGAGTCTGCTTACAAATACGGAGTGTATGTATGTATGTATGTATGTATGTATGTATCTATCTATCTATCAATCTATCAATCAATCAATCAATCAATCTATCTATCTATCTATCTATCTATCATCTATGCATGCATATGTCTATATGTATATGTATATATGGATATGGATATGTATGTGTATGTATGTAATTTATGTACTGTAGTGTAGCGTAGTGTAATGTAATGTAACGTAATGTCCGTAGTGTATGTATTTATATCCTATATATTATTGTATATTAATATGTTAATAGTGTATGTTGCAAAATGTTGCAAACAGACCTGTATGTTTGGCTTTATCAACGGCTGAAAAGACTGAAACATACACTGATATCACTGACATCTGCCGATGTTGTTAACTGAAGATTGCTCCATTCACCATGCTGAAAGTACATCAGGGGCATCGTGCCAGTAGTGACTTTGATTGATTTGGAGAGCTGAAACAGTCACACAGGTTGGTTGAGAGGGCGGGAAACGACAAGAAATCTGGCTCGTGCTGCCGTTCAAACTCTACAGCTTTGCGTCGATCTGTGTCTCAGTACAAGTTGATTGAAACTGCAAATCACTGTGTCAACAGCCTAAGTCACTGGAATGACGACGTTGTGAGTTGAGCCTTATCTACAAAAAACAAAAACGTAGCATGCGATGAACATCTGCAAAAGCCCCAATCTTGAAACGTTTGTCCCAAGCCTAACAGTAAGTGTCAGTCATCGCCGCCTGCTTTGCCTCCACCTGCTGCAACTGCAACTGCAGCTGCCTCGAGCGCTCCTGAGGCAGATCGTTGCAACCATGAATATGGAAAGGACTGAGACCATTGTGTCCGTTTTCCATTCCTTTCCCATCTACAAAGTGGATCCAAGTGGTGATGTTTGTTCCTTTCCATTTCAGCGAAAGATCGTGAAAACACACGGATGAGACCATTAACCAACTCAAATTCATTCAATGAAGGCGGAGTTTTAAACCGGATCAAGCTTTTCAGCATTTTTCAGCTATTCAACATCTCCTGCTTGCACTCCAGATACTGCACTTCGACTTGAAGCTGTCTTGCGCGTTCCTGGCCAAGACAGATTCCAAACGACCATAGTCTGGGATTCGTTACTGACCCAAGCAGACTCCACATCTGCCTCTGAAGCAGCAGCTTGCCGTTCAGCTCTTCTGCAACCATCTTGCCTCGACGGAAGAATTCCTATCCACGCCCATCAGGGTTGAGTTCAAGAAGTATGCAGTCGTCTCTGATTCTTAAAAAAAAAACTGTCGGGAGGATAGGGGTGTGTTGATCTCCAACCCAGGTTGTAAAAGAATCCTACTTAAACATGTCTACGCTGGGTCACCTCACTCCTCATCCTCCGCAAACCTGTTCTGTCATTCTGAATCTGCAGGGCCTTCGCGCGTCATCTTTCAAAATGGTTTCTGCACTTCCGCATACTTCCGCCAGACCCGGTCACTCCCACCTCCGCCCCACGTTCTTCGCGCACCGTTCCTTCACTGTTTAAAAAGCACACACCGCGTAAAGCGCCACGCTCGCGGGTTGGTCGGTCACTACCGGAGGTCCCACGCTCCGACTCGCTCCGTCTCTGCTGGGTGTCCCGGACTCGGTCCAAAGGGAGGCGCACTCCACCGCCTGTTGCAAGGCCGCGGCGTTCTTGGCCTCCTCCAGGCGGGCGATCCGCTCCTGGGAGAGATGGGTGGTGGGGGTGGAGGCCATGGAACCAGGAAGGACTGGATGGATGAAAGCGGATGAAAGCAAAAAGAGCTGGCAAAAGCCTGAAGCGTTGCACGAACTCCCATAACATAGCACGCAATGCATAACAATGTGTCCGTGCCCGCTATTGATGCTTGCAAGCTGGAGCTGCGTATTTTGTTGAGCCGGGCGTTCACCAGACACAAATCAATTGAATCTCGTGTTTGTTGCCAAAATTTGTCACGCTATCCTACTGAACTTCACCAGAGCTTCTCAAATTCCAGTGGTGGCCCAAAGCAAGGTGGGCCGCATCCGCAGACTCGCCGAAAGTCGGGTTCGCATACCAAGACGGGTTCATGTTGTCAGAGCAAGCTTTGCACGTTCCTTCGCAACGGACACAGCAATGTGCCCGTTTCGACTCCGAGACCTATCGCAGCACGACACTGGTCAACTTGTAGCCTTGGCGCGCAGCTCAGCTCTCCATGCTGAAGAACGAAAGGACTGGGCCATCAGACCCACCACCACGCTACTTGACCAAGCGCAGCGTTGTGAAAGCATCGTTGTGTGGCTTTTGCGCAAGCGACACGTCCACACGGTCAACGGGGGAAAAAGAGAACAAGAACACAATAACACACTATCAAAATAGGCAAGTGCAAACTATAGACCTGGACATCTTTCCCGATGTCCGGTTTGCACATGCCTAGGTCCATCTAAGGTAGCTTGGCGCTAGCGCCGGCGTTGGTCCCAGCGGTCTGGGGCTTGCAGCGTGCACGAAGGTGAAAGGCTGTCGACCACAAATCACTAAATCAAGTCACAACATATCACCAGTCTGTAGCACATCAAGCACTTGTCATCATAGTCGCCCCAAGATGGATACAACAGTGATGAACAGTGAAAACTTTCCCAAACAGTCTTGTACACTGTCTCAATCTAGTTAGGCATCCCTCTATCGTGCTTTGCCTTTGCAGCGGCCAGGCCTCCTGGATACGGCTCTCCTCCAGCAAGGCGTTCTCTTCTCGGGCGGCCTGGGTCAGCTCCTCCGAGAGTCTCTGCAAACGTTGCTCCGCGGACCTCAACCAGCGTCAAGACTAGGGTCAAGCAGGGTCGAGGGATGTCGAGGGTCAAGGCTGAAGCAATTCTGCTCCTATTCTAGCCTTCCACCAGCACCCTCCAACATGTCGTTAGTTGAGGGTTGTTGGGCCCTAACAGGTCTGAGGGTCCTGGTAGAAGGTTGGATTTTCGGACGCACAAAAGCCTCATCACATCTTCTTGCCCAAACATTTTGGGCTTGGGGACCTGATTTCGAGCCATGTGAAATCACATGGCCTGAGAGTTTAGTGTATATTGTATTAATGTACAAAATTGTACAAATACTCTTCGTCCTGGTGCCATTGAACCTCCGAGAAACCAAGATCGCACACTCGCCATGCCCCCCCCCGGCTGGCCACCGACTCGCTCGCGCATGTCAGTCTCGGCACTCCTGTGCCGCTTGCGACTGGGCTTCGAGGTGTGCGTGGGCCGTTTGCGCTTGTCGCAGTGCGGAGAGCTCCTCCTGGAAAGGAGCAGGTCGGGAGGATTTGGGTCAGCTTGGTGGCAAGGTATGCAAGGCCTATATCCGAGAGGATCTCATGTGATCCCATGGGACGTCTTCAATTCGCTCTCGAAGTTGGAGACCACATTGCAAGCGCACTCGACCCTGGAGAGCGTGTCTCCACTTGCTTCGTCCTCAAAGGACTCAGTGGCACATTGCAAGCGGACTTTGGCACCAATGGTGTCTGCCAGCTGCGCTTGCTGCTCGCTGCCTGGAGCTTCAGCCACAGATCGGACGAAGGCTGCGGGCTGCCAGTGATCTTCGCTTCGACAAAAGACTCCCATTGAATTGGATCACTTCCCTTAAAGGACTTCCCCTTTCACCCCCCTTTCACCCGATACTCCAGTGCCAGTTCTCCGTGCCACGTGCGAAATCACCTCCTCGGTGCAAACGTTCCGAGTTTGGATGTCCCAGGTGCGGAATCGATGCAGTTCCTGATGCGCTTCCTGCAGGGCTTCCTCCATGCCTCATCCGGTCACCACCGAAAAAGGTGGACGGCGGCGAGCCGGCGAAACCACCGGAGCCATGAAAACACCCCCAAGTCCTATTAGCGTTCTTGCTCCGTTCGTAGCGATGCCCTTTGCTCCTAGTAGCGTCCTCTTAGATTGCATTTGTTTTGTCCTCGGCTCCAGTGGTTTGCCGCATCCGATGGGATGACACGAAAGCCAAACAAGCATAGAACCATCATCTACTCTAATGAACTGGTCTCATCCGTCGCACCGTCGACACGGCGGTCGCCGAGGCCTCTGAGAGTCTGCTCCTCCTGCGTGAGTCCTTGGGGACGCAAGGAGAGCCGTCGCCCGACGAAAAGTGGGGTGGAGACCAAGTCTCGTTCTACTCGAAGAGTGAACAAAAAGAAGTTGGAAGGATTTCCACCGTCGCAGGTGGACAAACAGGCGTTACAAGTTGTGGCTCTTTTCCTACCAACTCAGCTCTCCACTTCGAGCTTGAGATGTTGCCTGGAGCCAGTCAGGTCAAACGAAACTGTCGAAAAAGAACAATATATCGACAACCTGGACCCTCAACAATTGTATAATAATTTTCTTCACTATTGGGATGTCTTTCCTATTGGGCCGGTTTGGCCGGTTCCAAAACAACCAAAATCGAACGCTAGCGCTGCTCCTTTTGTGTTCTTGATGCGCACACTTTCAAGGGTTCAGTCAAGCGGAAAACTAAAAGGCCACAGCCACAGTCCAAACAAGTGTGCGATCAATCAACATCTGAGTGGTTCAAACAATAGAACGCGTGAAAGGCTGACTTGCAGTTTGTACAGGAGGTGATTCTTCTTGGATAGCACGTCCCTTTTTCCACTCATCATCCCAAGGGAAACCCCTCTGAAGTTCTAGTTGTGTGATGGAAACTCGATGAAATCCTAAAGACCATCAAAAAGCCGAGAGTACAGAAATCCCGATTTGCGGACTTTTGCAGGTTTTGTGTACTATTTGCGTGCATTTGCATATTTTCTCCTGTACTTGTTGTTTCTCGTGCGTTTGGCATGAAAAAGCATCTTTGCAACTGAAATATTGCATATCGAGTCGAGTGAAAACGAATGGCAGCATGAGTTGAGGGATGCTTCCGTCTCTTGAATTAGTGGGGCATCCAGCTCTTCAAAACAGGAATGCTAGGAACTTTTGTCTTCAACCCTGTTAACATGCCTTCAAATTGCTGTTTGTTTTTGCAAGCCTCCAAAGTTCAAACTTATCAAACTTCCTACTATACAGAGTCCAATCAAATCTTCATGAATTGAACAACGATTCTCCTTGTTCAACTCCAATTTTTGAACTATTGGGCCAGAATCTCCAGTTTGAACGGTTTGAAGCTTTTCCGACCCTTTGCGGCCGAAAGTGTTGACACAACCAATAGACCAATAGCTAAGACAAATTCTTCACGTTTGAAGGTTCAGGAATATCTAGTCTATAATCAATAGACTGTAGACTCCTAAGAATATAGACAACACAACACATGTCACAGCTATAGGAAACAAAACCGGACTGGAAACACATCGGACATGATCATTTCATATCATTTCGCTTTTGCATCTTTTGCCATGCCCAAGCTTTGGCTACTAGACTCTGATGTTCGGTCAAGAGTTTGGATTACTCGAAAGGACATTGACACAAAGGATGATAACAAATCAGAGATAAACGTCCCTTCAATGCTCCAAACTCAAATCAAGCAAGCTCTTTTTCCAGCTGACTTGCTGATCCCCATTCCCTAACAAAAAATGGCCATCCGCCTTGTAATCAAAATCCAAAACTGTTAAAAGCGTTTGAGGCACGTTCATTGCGGAGGGGAATGGTTTTGAGTTAATGAGAGATAACACCTAAAGCCCCACTCAGCAGTGTTCTTTGCAGTACCCCGGGCTCAACAGGTTTCTCTGCCTGTATATAAAGCCACCCAGGATACATTTGTTGTCTAGAAGCCGGCCAGGTAGCCTTTCTGGGGGGTTGGAACGAAGGTCGCACAACTGGCGACCGAGTTCGTAAGACTGAGGCCCCTAAATGGCGGTGACCTAGGCGCCGATACTTCTTTGTAGCCTGTTGAAGGTCCACTCCTTGGTGATTCAATTTGATATTCAATCTTCGCTGTTTACGATGTCCAAAGTAGCAAAGATGGGTTTTGGGTTTTACCCGCAACTGTTGGAACAGGTTACAAATAGCCGTTCTATGATGGACAACCCCTCACAATGAACTAGAGTCAGAGTAGTCAAGGTTATGAGGCCAAACAAATATGATCTGCAAGTAAGCTTAGGGTGCCAACTAGTGCCAACCCCTTTTTAGTTGAACACCTTGATTTTCAGGGCAACCCCATTTACACAGAGCAAGGACAAAATCAATCGACTATGAAAATTGCTCCAACCCCATTCTACAAACAACAACCTCCAAGCATCCCCTTTATATCCTGTCTACTGACGGCATCTGACGGCTATGTTATAAACAAATTACAGTAGTTGTTTGTATTAGGATGGGCTTTGCAGGCACCCTACGAGTTGGAAAAGAATGTTTCAATCTATAGGGGAAGCTATGGAGGAGGGATTACTGTAGGTTATCAATATGGTTCTATGGAACGAATCGAGGGCCTCCTTCCTCCGTGCACAATGGTGTGCAAAGTAGAGCTGTTTGGTACCAAGACATACCAAAAGCATGTCATTTGGGAAAACCAGTGTTGGCACAGTTCGGAGATCTATCTTCACCCTGCCTGCAGTTCTAGCCTTTGACTCTTGGTTTGGAGCTTGTCCAATGCATCGCGCGCCTCCTAGAGCAGCCCCAAACATCCATGGCAAACTCAGACGTTCGGAAGCTGGGAAGGACACTGTACATGTCAATTATGTTTTGGACATGGTTTTCCTTTTGACTGCTTTTTCTCACATGTTCTTCACCACCTTTGCTTTACCTTGAGACCCCACCTTTGTCTAACAGTCCTCGGCCGACTCCATGTGCCGCTTCTTTGCACCCTCCAGGCGCCGAACAGCGTGCTCTTCCTGGCGAAAACGTTGAGATTGTTGAGAAAACCTTACAAGCACCGATAGAGCAACAGGGTCCACATGAACAAATTCTAGTTATGCACCTCCAATAATTGAAAATAGATCTGTGAAACACATCATGAAGTCAAGCGGGCTCTTTTGTTTCAAGCAGCAGTGCTATATCCAAGCCGATGTTTGCATTTGTCATCAATTAATGGTCTCCCACGGCCCACGCCCCATATTCTTTAGGTCAACACAGCCCCTTTAGTCCACATTGCCTCCTGAAACAACTGCCGGCACTTCAGATGTTCCTCTTCAGAGGCCTGACATGGTTCACAGTTCACACGCCAATAGGCGGCGTGCGTTTAGGTTCAAACGTTTACACATGTAGAATCATGTAGAAACTTCTGCCAAAGGGGAATTTGATGCAACAGAATCTGTAAGTGTAGGTGTGTCAAATAGATGGGATCCCCAAAACCTGGATTTATCATTGTCGTATATGCTTGCAGCTGGGAGAAAGTGTGGTGATGTGCGGCGCATTGATCGCAAGTAGCAACCGCACCATGCATCGCACTGTCCACATTCCGGCCTGGCACTGCAAGCGTGCGTCCAGCCACTTCCTCTGAAGGGTCTGTACCTCAGGCTGGTTTTGAAGAATGAACCAACATCCGAACACTTCTACCCAAGTAATTAGTCCAAAAGACTGATAAAGATTACACCGGCCCAAAAAATACAGTTTAAAATTGAAACATAATTAACGTACTGCGCATTCAAACCAACCTGGTCGGTGTGCGGGGCCCAGCCGAAGACATCTCCAACTGCTCCCCGGCCTGACTCTCCGCACGCAGGTGCCCACTCGCTTGCCCTTCCGAAAGTTGCAACTTCCCTTTCAACATCTGGAGCTCGTCCTGCAACCTGGGCTGGTCTCCCAAACACATCGTCAGATCGTTCCACGATATATTTCTAAACTACAGGGCGCCACCGAACGCACCCGAAAGGCTGGCTAGTTCGGAGTCATCGAAGTCTCTGGGAGAGCCAGCTTACTCAGCCGTGAGAGTTCTGTGGCTGCATCCCTGCCCAGATGAAGGCAGGACGTGTTTCCAGGTTCGGATGGATGAAGGGGCCCCCGCATCTTCAGGGTTGGTGACGCGAGCTGCTGCTTTGTCTCCCGGAAAAAAAGCGAATTTCCGCACTTTCGACAAACATGAGAGCACAGTTCGTCGGGAACGCCGAAATTTTAAGACCGGACACAAATAGCATGGAGAGCTTGGGAACATTTCTCAATGCGGTTCGGGAAATGGTTGTGGGCTATTTTGGAGATGTGGGATGCCCCTGCAGGGAACGCGCAAGGCTGTCTCACCAAGGTTCAAGCACTGTTCCTTGTCAACGCCTGCCAGCTACTTTGCGGTGGCCATTGAAAGGCTCTACAAGTAAAGCGTTCGTCAAGTGTTTCCAGTTGGGGACTGGCTCCCCATCACACGCATCCTCCCTGTCGCCTTCGCGGTGATGCCCAAGGATGCATCCTGAAAAGCTTCAAGTTGTAGCGCGCACGAAATGCCTCACAAGCCGAAAGATTGGCTTTGGGACCATAAAATGTCTGGACGCCAGTCACGGTCAGCTCATACCCCGAGAATGGCCTACAAGCCCAAAGATAGCTTTGGGGGCATTCAAGCAGTCTTAGGGTATGATACAGCCTTCTACCGTCCACCTTGCCCGCATCGGAAGGCTGCCACACAACTGCAAGCCTCCTTCGCGACTTTCACGGCACACATCTACGCCTGCTGCGCAGGGCCCCGCTCGTCACTCTTCTCGCGGAAGGTCACGCGCTGCTGCTGAGGCAAGTCACTGTAAGTCTTCGACTTTGCCTTTGCCAGGTCAGTGTCAGTCTTAGCGCTCAATCTTGCAGGCCAACTCTAGCTGGACGGCTCGCGTTCCTAGGGCTCACGCCTCGTCTATCTTCCACTCCGCCATGAAGCATTGGAAGCCACTGGGCCCTGGGCCACACGCCTCTTCAAACCCGGCGCGCATCGACGCGTCTCTACTTTTATCGAATGAACGGATCACCTGCGTCGCCCCCCAAAACCTTACGCCAACCAACAAAATGGCTTTGGGGTACGCGGATATCCACATCAGATCATGGTCCACCACACTTCGCCCGGCAAACGATCAATAAACATCAGCTCCAGTTCCAGTCCTGCGTAAAACTGCATTCCCCAGCACCAATTTCGCGCCGTGAAAACAGACATCGTAAACGAGCTGCAACCCTGAAGGCCCTGTCGCCAATCTTAGTCACCGAGCCTGGACCCCGGACAAACTGAAACACTCACATTGACAGTTCTCAATGTGTGTCTCTGAGTTCAAAACGCGCCATAGTCGTGCAAATGTCTCAAAGATATACGTTCCTTGGCCTATTCTTTTTCTTAGTGCTTGAAACGCGTTATATATATATATATATAGAGTAGCTGAGGTTTGGTATCGAGGCCTGGAGACCTCAACACCCAGGAAAAAATGTCAGCGTGAAAACAGATGGTTAACGCCCTGGAAATGTACATTTTGTCTTGGTGCTGGAGGTCTGGGCATGATTCACCTGTGCTTGAGGTCTCCTGGCGCTGCGTTTTTTCTCAAAGCAACCGGGGTGGCATGACGACGAGTGAACAGAAGAACAAGCAGCGCAAGCAGCTAAACAAGCTAACTCTGCAGACATGGAGAGATACCAGGTGGCACCCACTCCACTCCTCCGGGCTCACACTCGCCTACTGTTCCCTGTGCTTGGCGTCGAGATGTGACTCCGTCTGCCACCCCGATCCAAAAAGATCGACGTGACAATACCCCCCTAGCGACTGAAAATCCTGGAATATCTTGAGTGGCTCGAGGTATAAGACTTCATAACAAGACTTTATAAGGTGACTACGCTGTGATTTTTTTGGGGCCTTGAGCTCTAGGAATGTATATATATATATATATATGAGGCACTTGGCTCATCCAAACACCTTAGCTCCAGAAAAAATAGCCCCCAGAGCCCCAGACACCAAGGCTTTATACATAAAGTCCTGGTGCAAACGGTCAGGTGTATCTCAAAGCAAGTCAACTTATACAACCTATCCCAAGAATATTCGACCTGACAGCGCCGAGACCGACCCGCCCAGACCGGGAGGTCCACGTGAGAGGTCACATGAGAACACACATGCGAATGCAAACGCATGATAGCCTTAGGACGCACGTGAAAGCACACGTACGAGAGCACCCGCGTGAGAGCACGCGCAAAATGGAGCCCCCGTATGAACACATTTTCGACAACACACAGATATATATATATATATACATAACGGGCACCCCTGGCAGTGCATTTTTCTCGCAAATTTGTGTTCTTTTGAGATCTTTTGAGTCAACATTTGTCAAGGAAACTGCACTGCCAAAAATGGCTGTACAACAGTTGACCAATGGACAAAATATGCTAAAATACGTTCAAAAACAAAACCCAACATGTTGGGCTCACGCTTGGCCAAAAATTGCTCCGGAATCTTTTGCACTCACCTTGAGGACCTTGTGCGGCTGCCACCTTACTTAGAATGCACTCGCAGCTGACCCTCTTCAGTCAAGTCCTTCTGCCCTGCCTTAGGCTTCAGATTTTTCACCACTGATTTTTTCGACTTCCGACGGCCAGGTAATGAAGAAAAGGACATGCACTGCGCAGTCACGGCAACTATGCACTTGGAAGTCGGGCCTTCTGGAACCCATGAGGCAGCACACTACGCCGATGTCGAATGGGAATTGTGAAGCCAGAAGTTGAGGATTGAGGAGTTCAGAACACGTCCAACATCGCCAAATGAGATGTTCAACATGTCTTGTCAGCCTGAAGTCCAACATGTCAGCTCTTCCTTGAGTCCACATGACGTGCAGTATGAGAAAGTCAAGGGGGTTCATTCTGACTCGGAGCTCTGACGGTCCTACATCATGCAGGTCCAAAGTGCTGAGGGATATGCGGGCAGGGCTTGGCATTGAAAGAAAGAAAGAAAGAAAGAAAGAAAGAAAGAACACCACTTGACCCAGTTAAGCAGACTTGAGAGCACCAAAACGCGAGGATTCCCTTGCCCCTACTCTGATAAGTGACCACCAAGCCCAAGAGCACAGTCAAGGAAAGCACCCGCTCCAGCCATAGAGGGAGCCTGCGCAGTTGAAATGCGCTTCGAAGATTTGAGAGGCTTGAATGTGCCGTAAATCGGGTAAATAGCGGCGAATTAGCCGCCAACGGCCAACGGACGCGAGCACCCTCGATCAAACCCAGCCTTAACACCTACCGTAAGAACCCCTAGTGTGTCGACACTGTTGGGGAAGAATCAACATAGCTCAAAACACAGATGCCTCAAGACTCAAGACAGCCTCTCCCTGTTATCCAACCTTTGTTGGAAGCAAGCCATTGTAAGTGTCTAGTCTACAGTATACAGCGAGACAAGGACCACCTCCCCCAGAGTATATATGTTCATCAAACATCTAAAGGTGCAATTGAAATTGAACTCAATTGAATGACATTAATACCCCTCTGACTACTGGGCCCCGCTCGCCGTAGCTGTTGTGGAGTATCGACTTCTCCACCAGTATGAGTTAGTGTAAAGCTTCACCACTCCAACCTTCCTCGACAAAACCACAACACATCAGGACATGCAGGCTATCTTTACCTCATGAGTTCTTTGGTGGACCATTGGTGGATCAACACCAAAAACATCAAAACACCACCCCAAAAACACCTTGTGTCATATCCCTTGACCATGTCTGGAGGCATAAACATGTCATGATGTTTTTCCTTTTTGCTGTATCATGTTGGGGTCAGGCCACCGGGCGCTTCCTTTTGGGTTCCTTCCCCCACTCCCTCTGCGGCCAGGCCACACTTGCATGTTCCTCATCTGCACCTCTCGATCGCCCAGCTCGTCCACCAGGCGCCGCACGCGCCGGTCCTGAGCCTCACAGCTGCTCCTCAGTGGCCACGAACCCTCGGCTGCCGGGTTCGGTAAGGGACATGTTGGACGGATCTTGGAGGAAGTCCTGCTGCACAAGCATGTGAAAAAACAACAAGGCCACGGGAAGGTACGAGTATTATCTGAGCTCAGCGTCTCTTCTGAAAATAGCAAGGTGCGCAAGGCCACACTCTGGCTATACTCTTGGGCTGCCTGGCACGGGCTGACATGGCCGACATCTGCCTCGTCCCAGAATTTATCACTGGTGCTCCAGGCCCAAAGCAACTGTCATTGACTGCCATAAGATGCTATGGATCTCTGACGAGGTGGCGGTTTCTTCCACGTTGCACTAACTGACTCACTCACTCACTGCTCCAAACGGCATGGTCTCCGCATCCATCGCATCTTGTGCCTCCAAATGGAGTGCCTTCTCCCGAGCCTCTGCCCCTACAAACTCCATTCGCTGCTGCTCCTGCGCCGAATGCATGCGATCGCCAGTAGTTGGGGATGTCAGGGATCATGGAATATCCACATGGAGCAAAATCCGGGACTGGAATCGGCATTTGAAGCGACCAAGAAACCACGTGACATAGGACGTCAAAAACGTGAGATTGCTCAACGAAGAGTCTACATGGCCGGTGATGGAAGTGCTTAAAAAGGCCAAAAAAGTGTCATGATGCTGCCGCCAAAAAGCCAACAAGTGCAGGATCCATGCTAACCCACTTAGCAGTTGCTCCGCCAAATTCTTGGCCCCGAGACCGGGGGCCCAGGTGACTTCATGTCGACTTCACTCGGCTCGCTCCTGCAGCGACATCAAAACGTCCTGCTCTTCTTCCACACCCTGCATGAGGGTCTCCAACTCACTGAGCTTGGACCTTAAAAAATCGGAGCTTTTTCGCTAAGGGAGCGAAAGGCTTTTTCGGCTGGCTCAAAAGGGTCTATGAGTCTATGGAGAGGGGATGTGAGGATATCCTGTGACACATTCCAAAATCCAGAATGAAGACCCGGGGAAAGACACGGAATCTATCTACATGAATTGTATGTATACCTAAAACCACCAGACCTAACCTAAAGAAAATTCCTTGAGTTCGTTGGATGAGGACATGAGGACATGACGTTTCTCAGGTCATTTGGCGATCGCTAAGCGACAAACAAACCTAGACACATGTCCGTTCTCATCGTTCCAGCTCCAGCTTTCACCTGAACATGTCTCCACAAACTTCCTTCAAGCGTCTCATTGTCTCAATGTCTGGACAGCTTGAGGTGGACCTGGTCCCGCTGCCCAGTCAGTCTCTGCCGAGCAGCTCGTAGGTCACGGTGGAAAGATGGGTATCTGCACTGCTCGCCAAAAGCTTCTTGTAGCGGTGCAGGACCTCTCGCAGTGAGAACATTGGCGGTGATCACATCCGGATCCCACGCATTCGACCACCGGTGGAACTTCCCTTGATCTAGATCGGGCCAGAACATACCTGTAGGGATTCCTCAAGAAACCAACACCACGGAAATCAGTCCAGGAGTCCAGGAGTGGAATAAGTCGCTGGTAGGACACTTCCGGAGTTCTAGCATAGCAGCCAAAATGGAACCCTGTGCCCTCAATGTACACCCTTGAAACGAAGAGAAATAGTGATCCAGCATGGGTGCTTGGTTGGATAATGAAGAACCAACATGAACCAACTACTTAATTTGCTAAATGATGCAACGTGCACGAAACCCCATCTGCCTGAGGTTGGAAAGAAACTCACCGGCCTTTCGCAACATCCCCTGCACATCTCCAAGTTTGGCATCCGTCCCAGCATTCTGTATCACTCCTAAGTGAAAGTCTTGGTCAATCCAAAGAAGAAAATTGAAGGGCAAACTTCAATGATTCTCAATTCTCAATGTCCCCTTTTGGCAAGTCATGTGGTTTTGTAGGCCAAAGCTTTCGATGATTAGCTTTCATATCCAGTTTAGTGGCTGGTCAATCTGTGAAAAACCAACTCTGGACCCGGGTGTGGGGCTATATTAGAGTAGCACAATTCAGCATCACTCGCTCAGCTTGTGAAACAAATTGATCGACATCACAACCTCGTGTCGACTCCAAGCATCGTTGTTGAAGGAAGGACACAGCATCCTGCAGCTGATTTACCTCCGCCAAGGAGACGTGACATAGCGCCGTTTAAGAGGATATTCGATGTGTCCAAACTTAACAATCAACACTGTAACACAAATCAACACACCAATGTGCTCTCTGTCTAACATGGAGCTGTGAACATCTTTCTTGAACACTAGTCACAAGAGAAGCCTCATGAGCAAATCCCAGCCTTGCTCTCGGCATGCGAATACCTTCGATTAACGCACAAAGCAACTTCCGACTCAATGCTTCCACCGCGGCGGAAATCCAAAGGTTTCGATTGCAGTTGCACACACACACACAAGGGGACATCCTACTGGAGCTCCTATATCCTCCCCAACGGTTGATAATGAGAGTCAAGGACCAACATCGGAAGGCTGCACAGCCATCCCTATGCCATCTCAGCCGCCTCCATGACTGGGCCAAGGAACTGATCCCTCAGCTCAGTTTCAGCTTCTTCAGCGATCTCCTCACAGTTTCTACTCAGTAGTTGGTTCGACTCAAAGAGAAGAGTAGGAAAGGAATTTCGTCAGAGGAGTGAGCACCGGGCCTAAAGCCAGTCATGACTGATCCGGTTCGGTCACCGCTGTTGGCCGTCACAACGAGTGAGCATCTGTGGGCGGCAGGCGAGCGAATCCACTCCTTGATTCTGCTTGATCCCTGAGTGAGTGTAACTTCAAACTGCTGGGAGAAAATCACAGACTCACAAAGCAGAAGGACTTTCACTCAAGGTTGAAATCATTAACTCTAACGTATTAATTACTTTTGAATTGTTTGTAGGGAAGTCCATCTCCTGCTTGGACTCCATCTGCTGCAGCTGCAGCTGCAGCTGTCTGGAGCGCTCCTGCCGGCTATGAGACGAATAATGATGGTCTGTGTCGAAGATTCAGATCATATATAATATTTAATATATATATATATATTCATCTATTGATTGTTCTTGTCAATGAATAATCCTCAATAGGCATCAATGATTAAAACAATGTCACACAAATGCATCGAAAAACAAATTAAATTAATACATTTACTATAATATTATATGTGTAATATAAGAACAGGCTCTGAAGTTTCACGTCAGCAATTTTTTCGACACACAAGGATGCGAGTGGACTCCAAGTCAAAACAACAACGCTCTGCACTCGTGAGCATCTCCTGCTTGCACTCCAAATACTGCACTTCCACTTGAAGCTGCCTCGCACGTTCCTGGCGACGAAGCCCGTTTTGCCCACTCAAAAATACTCCATGAGACCGCGACGTGTGTGACCGCGAGCCACATCGAGCCACGTGGGGGGGTGAGGCGTGCGCGCCTCAGAGGCTGCAGCCTGTCGTTCAGTCCTCTTCAAGGCATCTTGCCTAGCCGAGATGGGAACAAACTGAGAGTTTTTTCAGCGGAAGCGCCGGTCGCCAAAACCCACGCGAAGACCTCTCCGAATCTCTAGTTCGACATGCACAAAAGCGTCACCTTGTTTGTTGCAAAACGCAGTCATTCAACGACAAAGAACAACAACAACAACAACAAACAACAACAACAACAAACAACAACCAACAACAACAACAAACAACAACAAACAACAAACAACAAACAACAACAAACAACAACCAACAACAACAACAACAACAGCAACAACAACAACAACCAACAACAACAACAACAACAACACCAGCAGCAGCAGCAGCAGCAACTGGAACAGGAAGAGCAACAACGCTTACTACTACTACTACTACTGCTGCTGCTGCTGCTGCTACTACTACTACTACTACTACTACGCTTACTACTACTACTACTACTACTACTACTACTACTACTACTACTACTACT